CCATAGGGCTAATCTTAAAATGTCAAAACCAAAGGAGGGCACGGTGCCCCGGTGCCCTCCCCGTTCCGCCGCCTATGCATGGCTAGTGGCTACCATCGTCGCTCAAATAGTTGACTGACTGACGTCTGCAACACAGCGCAATGGTACTGTGTTTGAGGTGAGGGAGTTGTTTGTATAACAATCCGTTCCTTGAAACCGTCAACAGCAGCCAAGTCGGAGCCCCGGCGAACAGGTGAAATCACCAGCCGAAAACCATTATGCAAATAATCGTTTCCAGGGACCCGCCCGCTCAACGGATTCGTCACCGGCGTGGTGGGTCGGAGGCCTCCGTTCATTGGTCGGTCGAACAGTATTGATGACGTCATCAGGAGTTCAGAAGCCGACCATTTATGGCGGGTGGGGCTGCTATCCGAGCCCACGCAGGCCTAGGCTGCGGATGAGCCCACGCCGGTCTGAGCGGGCGGACAGCGCACTATGGTTGGAAACGGCCTCACGGATGGCCGTGGGCAATTTCGGAATATATGTATATTTGGGGTGTCATTCTGTTGGAAATTGATGGAATGTTTTGAATTGGGCAGAAAAAATTATTTAGTTGCGCATTTAGTCTCCATTATTGTACGTGGAATCGGGAGTTTCTGATAGTGGCTTTTTGGTGCGCCGTCAAAGGTTTAAACAACCACGCTGGTGATAGCATGTGGAGTACCTCCATGACGTTGTAAAACTGGATTATTATATATCAAAATAATCCTTGTTATGTTGGCTATCGAGTGGAGTGACTCTTTTTCCCATGCGTGTTCAAAATCAGGAACGGCATTGCATTCTGTTTGCAGTGTCACCACAACAATATTTGCAAAATTACGTTTATGTTTCATTGGACATACAAAAAGTTCTCCATCGACCTCCATTGAGCTTTTTGGCAGAATGAATCTCTGTTCAATTCTGCGTAAGGGGAACGTAAAAGCAGACTGCGCACTTGTGCGCAAAATCGTCCGTGAAGCTTCATCTCCCGAGGCGTACCTACCCGTCGCTTCGTTAGCACCAGGTCGGCTCGTCAGTCTTGCAATCGATTATCCTTATAAATAATGGTAAGAAGCAGGGTTGTGGAGTCGTGGTGGCGCCAACTCCGACTCCGACTACGACTCCGACTCCTGACTCGTTGCCATGACTCCGGGCGACTCTGTCTCCGACTCCGGACCCCTGCCAGTGTTTCGGAGTCGTGATGGAGCTGTTCCGATTCGGACCGACTCCGACTTCCACTGCGGGCTCCTGACTGACCCCGACTCCGACTCAGACTCCTGGCTCGTTGCCACGACTCTGGGCGACTCTGACTCCGACTCCGACTCTGACTCCGACTCTGACTTCGACTCCGCACCCCTCGTAAGAAGTAACTGCTCGCCCCTGCACCTGGTGTATGGATATCGTGCAAACGTGTATGGATATCCTGGAGTATGGATATGGATATCCACCGACAGAGCAGACATACAGACATGCTGTAAACGCCATTACACTGCCAATACCATGGCAAATCAAATGGCTATCTATGGTTTTTGATCATCGTTCTACATTTTCCAAAATCTTGAACTGAATGTTGGCAATTTCTCGTGACTACTTCACGACCATGATGCATGCATTTCTGAAATTGATCTTTTTCAACCAGCCACGTACTCGTATGATAAAATGAATGTCACCATCGTGTTCTACGCCCAAAAGTACCCATAAAACATGTGTCATGCATGGGCTGCGAATAGGTACCAGTTTTAATTTTCGGGGTTATGTGCTTACCTGATTGACCTGACTTTGACCCTGGCCAGTGGCCTATGTTTGACTGACCCCTACATTGATCTGACACTCTTTTAGCACTTATATGAAGGGTTGTGACAGTTGTGACAGTTGTGACAGATTGTTTAGGACCAACTGATGACTGAATTTATTTAGGACCAACTGATGACGATATAATCGAAACGCGAAACGCGAGGCACCGATTGCGAGGTTCTAAAGTCCATGCTACTGAAAGCCCGATTTCAAGTGTTTGACCTGACCTTGACCCGACCTCTGACCTCGAAATTCAGCTTTAAAGTATTCATGTGAATCGTCTCGTCGCGTTCTTCTTTCGTTTGCCGCGCCTCGTGCGTTTCGCTGCGCCTATTTGTTCGCGAGTTATCGGCTGGGGGCGTTGAACGCCCCCCCCCCCCCCGGCAAACGGCGGATGGGGAAGTACCCCAGCAACTGCCGGGTTAATCTGACGCATATTTTGTCATTTGATCGTCATTTTATTTCTTACTTTTTTGCCCAATCTAAAAAAAATCATAAATACTCTTTCTCCAAATTTTTGACCCTTTATGACCAATAGTAAGACACTGTGCGTCACTACGTTGTTATTTCTCGCCCTAAAGCATAACAACAATATCCATTCAGTAATAGCAGTATTCAAAACATGTTCAAAATGCCTCACGATATCGATAACATAACGAAAGACATAGGCGACTTATAACATACTTGCAATGATGACGTCACACACGCGTGACGTGACGTGACCTCGTCATTTCTGAGTTACTGTATGATGCACGAAAGACACTGGTATACCTATGCAAAGTTTCATCGCAGTCGGTCTACGCATTAACAAGTTATGGGCAAAACATTTTTTTCGCGTTGACCCCCGGCCATCCGTGAGGCCGTTTCCAACCATAGTGCAGCGGTGACATCAGGGTGCGGCGCGCGGGCTAACCATCCAGGACCGTCCCTTAGCCAGCCACGGTCCGTGAAACCCAGCAGTCCAAGAGCCTCAATGAGTACCGTTGGGATCCAGGGATCTAAAGCGCTGAGAGGCCTATATGGCACGATATTTCAGTGTGCAAGCATGCGATGTGTTGCTCAGAGTCCAGAGAACCAGTAAGAAACGGCACCTGTCCTGGTCTGACCTGGTCGACCCGCGCGCCGTGCCAATGCCGGTATATGGAGAGAGCATCCACGGACCCGTAGCTCAAGTCAGAGACCGATGGTGCTCAACAGCTAAATGGAGGCGGCAGGGCTGCCTCCGCTAGGATGGAATAGGACATGTGAACCATATCCAGTGCTTACAAACGACCTAACGTTTTTATACAAGTCGCTTCGATCGCGAAAAACACGGGGCTGCAAAGTAAACGCCACGATCTGAGTGAAAAAGGCAACAGCGGGCATACTGCAACGCGACATTGCAGACGAGCTGCAGAACTCGATCAGTTTTCAACGGTGCAGCGTTTATCGCACGGCAGCCTGCCGTACTTCGCCGTTAGGATCCCAAGCCTCACCCACTGAATCCATACATTCACACCAAACCGGTCCCCTTCCTCACCCACTCAATCCATACATTCACACCAAACCTGCCCCGTCAACAAATCAGCGTCCCGTTTGGCCTGCCCCCTCCACCTCCCCACCCCCGCCTGGCCTGACCTCCACTGCAGTCACACCTGGGAACAGCCACGTTGATTGGTATGACTCAGCTCGGCACCCACACTGTGCCCGTTGGAGACACACAGCACGCTGCCGGTCTGGTGAATTTACCCTGCGCCGTCCGGCGTCCGCCCGGTCCCACCATGACTCCCAGCCCGTGTGTGCTTTGTGCAGTGTGTGCGTGCACGGTCCAGCGACAGCATTCATAGCAAATACGCTGCCGGCGGTCAGTGGACGCCGCTCAGCGCACTGCCAAAGCTGCCGGCCGTTCCGGTCCCCTACACCGGACGGCGGACGCTGTCCCCATAGTCCGTCCACGCGGCCGTCCGTCCGGCCGGCCGGCTGGCGGGCCGGACGGGAGAGCGACCTTGTAGTTTCAATGGCGCGCCAGCCCGGGGTGCCAGCGTCCGAGCTGGGTGCCAGCCATGACCCAGCAACAGCTATTGGCGGGAGGTGTGTGCTGGTCACACATTGGAGTATGCCAGCTGCCAGCTGCAGTAAGGGCAGAAGACCACCCACAGACCGGACCAAACGTCTGTTCGATTTCCCACACATTGGTCACGGCAGACCAATTCTACCAGACCAGACCGGGTTGGACTACCGGTCATCAGCCACGCCAGCTGCGATTTCTCGCCTGATTTCGGCCGGAGGGGAGAGGAGGGAGGAGCGGTGGACGCCTCCCGGTGCGGTGGCACTCTCTCGCTCTCCCGGGAGCGGTCAATAGTTGATCCGGAGCTGGCCGGCGCCCCAAAGCCTCAGTTGTCGACCGCTCGCTGCTCAGCGGAGGTAGGCACCGGGTAACCCCCTCCGGCGCCGCAATAGACGGCCCGTGCTCACGCTGCTGAGGCTCTGACTGCTGTCCGTCGGCAGGCAGCAGTCTGTAGTCTGGAAAGAGTGCTGCCAGAGCCAGCCGAGCGCCCCGGGCGGGGTCAGTTGGCCCGTTACAGTCACCGGCCCAGTGCATTTATGGCGCTCAGTCGGCGGAGCGTTGTCTGAGGCGATGGTGTTTGTTAGCGGGTATCGGACCCAGGATCGATTCTGTCTGCTGTTTAGTACCGGGCGTGGTCCCCTGAGGCCTGAGGGTGGTCAATAGCATTGGCCACCCAGGGAGCGCAAAATGAACATTGCCGAGCATAAGGGTAGGCAGGGAGCCGGAGATACCCCAAGAAGCGACAGGGGTACTAGCAAAATCAACTACACCTACGACATCTCCGAAAGGTCTTCAAGGGAACTCCGGTCTTTCTCACTTCCCATTCCAGCACCGAAAGCTCGCAGGCCATTGCGAACCGCTCCTCGTCCTAGGACAGGGGACGGGACTCGGGACAGATCCTGATACCGGACTGAACGGCTCACAGCTGTATGGCCGCAGGTCAAGGTCACGGTCATCATGTCACGGGTCACACCAGACTCATGGCGACGGGGAGCGACCTGGAATGGCGACAGAGCCCCTGACTTCTGGACAGGAGGTCTGTTGCTTATTTATAGACCAGACAGGAGGTATTTATAGTCACCGTGGTCTGTTGTTGAAAACCTGCATGATGCCGTCAGTGAGTCGTCGTTGGGCGCCTTACCTGAGGGCGACCCGCACGCTGGCCTCCCCGTCGGCCATACTGGCTGCGCCGCCGCCGTCACTCCGCTGAAACATAGCCAAGGACACGTCAAACCGAGGGCTGACTTAGATGGGAGGTGTTTTCTGCAGGCTGAATGACAAATGACACCCGTACTCTTACCCGTCTTTATCACCCGTACTCACCCGTATTTATATACACTGTGCCCGTTCTATTCTCATCATCGTCATGACAAGTGCTGCTCAGTGCTCATACTCGTTGCGGGAAAGACGATGGCCCAGCTGCAGTGCTTCCATTTTATTATTGTTTTCTGTGCATGGCACTGAGGTTCTGAACCATTGCCCTGTATGAATTGAACATGTCAGAAACTCACCTCATGTCAATGTCAGGACCATCAGAGACTATTCGACTATTCTTCGAACAAGAAAAAAAGGGAAGTGTGTTACCATTCAATTTCGAGCTCATATGCATGGACCAAGCACGGGACTCACCTTCAAATATTATTTAACTCGTCGTTCTTCACAATGTAACTCAACAGATTCACGAAGCACCAGTCTACCCCACCATCACTGCTCGACCCGACAATACAACCACCTCACTCGGCGCCCGGCGCGCGACTGATTGTAAACAAAGCGAACGGCATCTGAACTGGGCTGCCATATTACATGGCGGAGGAGGAAAGGAAACCCTTCACCGTTGCAGGGACGCGCGATCGGAGCCGCGCGCGTATATTCGGATGCAGTATGAGCAGAGCATGGGTCCCGAAAAATTCCTCAGAAGCTAGAGAAATTCTCGGACACACACGACGGGTACCATATGAATGCGGGTGAGACTAAATGCTTACTTCGAAATTTAAGCTGCGTTGCGGCATTGGCGGTTATGTGCGGCGTGTATGCCGCATGATTAGTAAGCGGCGACCACTAAATTAAAAACTCGATAGCTTTGACCTGTTTTCAATGGATAACACTGCATACCAAAAATGTCCATCGCTCTCGTCATAGGATATTTAGATTTAAATAACTAACTTATCTACATCATCGTTTTGAACCAAGTTAATACTTTCAACTTGACCCTCGCCCGTATAGGTGTTTTTTCCAGCCGCGAACGTATAAGGTATAACCCCTTGCCGTTTCGCTCATGATCAAGCTAGAGCTTCGCGGATAAAACCAGCGTGTTGCCCGTGACGAGAGGAAGCCGATGATACCCAATTTTAAGGTCCTTGGTCATCGGTTGACCTTCCAGGTCAGGTCAATGACCCAAAAGGCAGGAAAATTGGGACCTGTTAGAACGTTGGACGTGGTGAACGTGGGACCTGAAAAAGTTGCACCTCTATGTAATATGTGGGTTCGATATACTGTGTGACGTTCCAAGAACTATTTGGGAAAAGTTGCACCTCCGGAGAGACGGACGGACGGACGGAGAGACGGATGGACGGACGAAGAGACTGATGACGGACGGACGGAGAGAGTGACTGATGGACGGACGGATGGAGAAACGGACGGAAGGATGGACGGACTGAGAGACGGAAGGGCGGACGGACGGACGGACGGACGGAGAGGAGAGACGAACGGACGGACGGACGGACTGAGAGACGGAAGGGCGGGCGAACGGACGGAGAGACGGACAAAGAGATGGACAGACGGACGAGAGAGAGAGAGAGAGAGAGAGAGAGAGAGAGAGAGAGAGAGAGAGAGAGAGAGAGAGAGAGAGAGAAAGAGAGAGAGAGAGAGAGAGAGAGAGAGAGAGAGAGAGAGAGAGAGAGAGAGAGAGAGAGAGAGAGAGAGAGAGAGAGAGAGAGAGAGAGAGAGAGAGAGAAGGGTGGTGAGAGAAAGGAGGATCAGATGAAGGAAAAGACTTAGAGATATGGATATTACTTGTCAGAGACTCGGGGGGGACGGGAAGGAGACTGATACCTAAAGAGAGGAAAGATGATCGTGAGCAAGGGGTTTGGGAGATAGGTAAGGAGACAGGGGAAAATGAGATTTTATTGCTCCGGTCCCAATAACACTTCCCAAAATAAAATATAATTGGTCGTAATTATCGAATAAGAATCGGAAATTGTCAATTGAACGTCTGATTTGCTTACATCGATCCGCCCTATACCCTGTTTGACATGTTTGCACCAAAGCCAACTTGCAGGCTATACATCGAGCCAGTGGTATATACTATACAATAAATACATCTCTCCCGGTGGTATACCTGCATAGAGCCGAGACCTCCGGCTGTATTTTCCCACGATCAGCCGGATTGCAAAGCCGTGTATTTTTCGTCCGTTGCAGGCGGCCGGCGCAATCTCCGTGAAAGAAGCGCTCCAGTGACAAAAGCACGAGCAGATCGCCTAAATGCCGGTGGCCGCGAGAATTTCTCTAGTTTCTGAAGATTTTTTCGGGACCCATGCTCTACTCATACTGCATCCGAATATACGCGAGCCGCGCGGGGTGCAAGGCGCAGTGTTTATTGGTAGGTATTGAGAGGTATTTACGTGCATAGCAGGCCCATGTCGTCCCCTATCTCTCTGCGTGTCCACTAACACGAATGACGTCACGCATGTGGGCGGAGCTATGGGCGGAGCCTAACGCACGCGGCAGTGCAAGCCGCCATATTTGAATTCATATTTTAATAGAATCTTGCCGATATTTTGGGTGAAGTCAATTTATATGGATAGCTTGGTGACAGTTTAGCTATACGAATAATAATTTATTATGGATGTGCGTATATTCAGCTTGGAATTGCAATTAAAGTTTCGCACCGCATAGATTCGAACTCGGGACCTTTGGAATACTGCGCGGGCACGCTAACCACTACACTACCGCGACCGCGCGGCGGCCGGCGGCAGGGAGGCTGCGGAGACATGGGGGGACATTTTACGCTTTTGTGAAAAAAGCAAAAGATTTAGCGAAAAACACGTAATAGATAACTTGCAGAAAATTGTCTGCTCTTTCAGATAAGATACTTAGGTTTGATATATCTTGTGTAGACTTCATTCAACAGTGCTTCGAAAATCGCTCATTTACATGGGGATTGAACGGGGCTTCGAGACTTGACTCCAAATGACGTCACGAGCTGACGTCACGAAAAGGTAGAATCGCCGGACGACCCTACCTGGGCCTTGCGTGCATAGTTGGTCAGTTCATCAGCTCCGTAGTATTGTGCAGTAACGTGCATTTTCTGCCAGGAAGAAATTCAAAGAATCTGCCTCTGAGGCAAAGGTGAGATGAGATGCTTATTTTCTATGGCACTTATCTCCTGGACTAATTTATATTTCTATTCATATTTGTCTCCAACATCAGGAATATGTGGTCCCGAACAATTCGGGCAGTGCTTGGATTTTTGCCACACGATACGAAATCAGTGCAATATTTTATTAGGCATCCGTAAATTTCAGCGTATTTTCATGCACGGTGTCCATGCAGGAAAGGAAAGCCAAGAGACCATCACACAAAGCTGAACAACGACCGATTTATCGATTGTTCACAAGACATCTGCTCCCAGGTCCACCGGAACCGCGGTCAACACAAGCCGCCAGCGGCCGTGACACCGATACGAACACGGAACACCAACGTCGGCCTAGGTGGCGCCACCAGGCGGGGAGCGTCGCCCGCCGGCCCTCGCCGACCTGACAGGTAGGTGGCGCTGCTGTGCTTGCAGGGCGCCCGGTGGCCGGTACCGGTAGTGGGCAAGTGATGGGTACCTCTGGGAGGATACCCCTGGTATCACTTCTCGCCCCAAAAGCCGCGTCCATTAGCACTAGATTGAGGGGTACACCGAGCTCGAGCCGGGAGCGGGGTGCGGCCAGCGCTGCGCTGGGTGTGGACTGTGAGTGGAAAGGGAGGGCCAGGCGACGCATGGCAACAGAGGACTGGCTCTTCTAGTCATCCTTCCCCCAGCTGACAGGTATCGGAGACAACAAACCCACATTGACTAGTGACTAGTAGGGGTGACTAGCATATTGTTCTGACTAGATAGTTCATACATCCAGCACGTGCCACGTTACATCGATATCACGACCATCCGCAACTATCTACAACACTAGCAAAATAGGGATCCATCATTGATGATACGTAAATCGTAATGCTTAGAACGACGAGGCTAAGCGATAGACAACAGTGGGCTGACTAAAGCGAGCAGAAGCTGTTGCTTTCCCCATATTGATATATCATATGTTCTATCACGACAAAGCCAGAAAATACTAGGCGTAAGATTTTCCACTAAAGCACAGCTTACCACGACGATATCGTGACAACAACAGTCCACACCTAAAGTCTAATCTACACTGAAGGGAATGAATGCCGAAAGCTAGGATCACAGAAACGTCGCCTCGCCTGCTACATCAAGGGAACATCAGACAAATACGACGTGGTGCTACATACATTACAAACGGAGTTGGCGACGCAAAGGTGCCAAGCTCTCATGCTCAAGAAATGAACGTTTAATTATCATTATCTACTTGAAGCATTGATGATTGTGTGTGTTGATTGTGTGTGTGGTATCCAAAGTCGAAAATCCTTCATTGTCATGAAGCTCCAGCCGTACCTAGACGTCGAGCATCACGCATCGGGTATCACTGGACTTTCAATATTGACATGACACTTCAAGTCTACCTATGCTGGCTGAGATGTTATCGCTAGCCGTACTGACGCCTCTACTATGTCGTACCACTGCCTGGTATCGTTCCACGGTTCCGGACAGAACCGGAGCAGTCGAGCCTCTCTCACTACGGCGGAGCGGCTCGCACTACGGCGGAGCGGCACGCCGACGGGACCCGGAGCGCGGTCGGCGCTGGGACACGGTCGGACTGAGCAGGCGACTGCCGGGCCGGGCGGGCACTGTGAGCATACTGGCCGGTCCCCCGGTCCCCGGTGGCACGCCACTCCCCCCGGCTGTCGAGGCCGCGGCGCTCAGCAGCTCGTGCTCCGCCTCGCCGCCCTCGTCCTCGTCCTCAGCCTCCATGCCGATCTCCAGCTTGACGATGACGAGTCGCATCAGCTTGTGGACGGCCTCGACGGTGCGGGAGGTCTCCTTCAGGCGGCGTTTCACCTTGTCGAGCTCGCGGTGCTGGTGGTTCTGCTCGGCGATTGCTGCGTGCTCCAGGTAGTCTGTGGGTGAGTGGGGCAAAGACTCGGTCATAGACGGTCATTGAAACTGAACTTTGGTCAAGATTTGTCAACCTGGGCGCAAATGACCTTTTAATCAACAACGAAATGACCCCCGAAATGATCCCCTGACCCCTCAACTCCCAATGAACTAACTAACAAACATTACAAAAAAGGTAAAGCTAACAATTTGCGGAACCTCCTACGGTATACCACAGCGGCAGAGGTCTATCGCACCCCGGCCTCAGGTCAGTCACCTTGCGTCAACTCACCGAACGTCTTCATCTGCGAGCCGTGGCTGGGAGTGACCAGGTACAGTACAAAGTGCGCCATCCGGCGCAGCGGTGACGCCTTGCTGCCCTTTAGCCGGGCCGCAGTGTTGGGGTACTCGGTGAGCTCGGTGCGTTTGACGCGGTCTAGGAACGCCTGAGGAAGTTTCCGTTCGAGGCCGGTGTGGAGGTCCACCTGTGGGGTACGGGCGGGTCATCAAAGGTCACAGTAAGTCACACTGCATGAGTCACAAAGGACAGGTTATACATCTCGTCCTACACATAGAATGCAGGCCAATGGAAAAGAGTGAGGCCAGTTCGTACAGACCTGCATGGCTAGCCGTTTCAATGCAGCGCTGCTATGCAGGCACATCTCTAGCTCCAACAGACCTGCATGGCGAGCCGTTTGAGGGCGGCGTTCTTCCTGACGGCCTCGATGTCTCCGACGGCCAGACCGACCAGCAGGTTCATCAGCAGGATGGGCATCATCACCATAAACACGATGACCAGCAGGAAGGAGGTGGAGGCGAACGGCAGGAACCGGCTGCCCAGGCCGCTGCGAACATAGGGGCGAGAGTGGCAAGTTAGACGAACCGGGAACCTGGAGCTGTAGTTCTAAATCACGTGTAACATTGATGGCTTATGGATGACTGTTTTTCGTCATAGCCATGGCCGCCGTCTGCGTAAATCACCAGGCTCCCCTCACATATCTGATACATATACTAGTATTGTACCGTCCAGGTAAAGAGTTTGGACTTTTCCTTCCGAGATCCTTGCTTCGCTACCGTTTCGGTGGAGCAGTTGATGCCCCTTTGATCCTATTCACCTGAGAGGCACGGTCGAGCTGTAGAGACCGCTCCCTCACCTGTGTGCTGCTTCCCTCACCTGGGCACCGTCGAGCTGGTGACGTTGGCGGCCGCCGCGGTCAGCTCGGTCCGGAAGCCGCTCCGCCGGCCGCCGCTGGTATGGGCCGCCACCAGGGCCGAGTTGTTGTCCCGATTGGCCAGCCACGGGTACACATACACCGTGAGGAAGTCGATCTCTCCCAGCATCATGTTGAAGGTGCGCATCAGCGACATGGGCACGCTGCTGAACTCGGGGTGGTTGCCCTGGAAACGGACAGGATCGTGACGTCTTTGGGACTCCTCCGGGGCATTGTTTACAGTGGTTTGTGCCTTGTAGTCACAATTGTGCTGTGCGAGACACACGAGTCATAAATAACACCGATGCAATACATATTCAGGCCAAGTGGACACGTTCGCACTAAATTATGTCCCCACTGTGCGAGAGTATTACACAGACTCAAAATACCACACCCCAATTTAAATTCATGAATTATTATGATGGTCGACAACGTATCCCGACATACATGTGGGCATCCAACCGCCGAGTGAGCGGTGCGCTGTTTTCGGAAAGTGGGGACTCACGTTGGAGAGCAGAATGTAGAAGGAGAGGCCAAAGGCGATGATGAGTACCGAGAAGATGATGAGCACTCGCAGCAGCGTCTTCTGAATCTCCACAAACATCACCACGTAGATGCCCACCGACTCGAAACTGAAATCAGACGCGAAAGTAAGCATAATTTAGTGGCATGGCACGACGGATTGCTTCAGTGCTCTCTGTGAAAGATCGTGCCTGGATGAACCTTGTTTAAAAAGGTTCAAACTCAAATTTGTTACAAAAAGTTCATTATCGTCGTCATCGTCATCGTCATCATCATCATCATCATCATCATCATCATCATCATCATCATCATCATCATCATCATCATCATCATCATCATCATCATCATCATCATCATCATCATCATCATCATCATCATCATCATCATCATCATCATCATCCCCAGCATCATCATTCCCTGACCTTCTGAGGTAGAGGAGCATGCTGAACCAGGCGAGGAACACGGTGATGGCACTGGTGATGATGTGACAGTGCGTCACCACCGGATAGAACACGGGTGTCACGCTGATCAGAGCCGACACGTACATCGCCAGCTCCATGTAGTTCTCAAAGTCTGACAACGACACGAAAAATAACGTCATGAGAGGAATGAAACAGTGCTTTGAGTTTTGACAACAAGCGACGGACGGGTGTCATCTAGGAGGCAATGGTGTGGCGAAAGAAACGGCCAAGAGCAAAGCGTGTGTCTGTTTTGATCGGAATAAAACTACCTTTTATGACATTCTGATAAGTGACTCTAGAGGATTTCAAGGCTATACCTAATACAGCGGCAAATGTCCGTGTGGTGTAACTTATAGCTGGATTTTGGCAAGTGTAGGAGAGAAGGCTGTTCACGGTCCGACACACGAACCTGTGACGAAGTTCCAGCTCTGGTTCCACATCTGCATCATCTTCTTCAGCAGGTTCAGGATCCCGAACACGATCACTGACACCATGATCACGTACGACCACAGCGACTTCTTCTTCAGATGAATAATCTGTCGGCGATTTAGACTGAGATTAAACTTCTGATCGATGCTTCATACGCATTTGTTGACATATTTAGTGTTTTATAACACAGGTGCAATATAGTCATGCTAATTAACCGTAGTAACATGACTAGCTACATGACCGAAGGCAGTAGAAACTTCTCAAGTTGTGAAGCGCTGTCGATCAGATATCCTGTCCGCCGCGATATGACCACTCACGTTGTGTATGTCGCAGCCGCCGCCCTCCGACATCAGACCGAGCTCGTCCGGTCCCAGGTCACCGGCCTCCGACCCGGGGTCTGCGTGCCCCACCAGGTGTCCCTCCTCCTTCAGCATGTTCACACTGCCGTCAGCGTCCAGCAGCACCGGGCAGTGGCGCACCAGCGTCATCAGGTTCATGGCGTTCAGCGTCACCAGGAACACGAATATGGCGTACAGGAGGAGGCTGAACAGGTGGCAGAACCTGCCGTAGGCCTGCCACTTCATGGCCAGGTAGCGCTGGGTCAGCGGGTGCATCAGCAGATCGATCCGTCCGTGGTGAACCATGTGCTGCAGGAAGACGGGGCACATCGGGGTCACAGTGGAGTCACATTGTATCTTTTCACAATGCTATTGCACCATGGTGACAGCATATAAGGTCATTCGAGGTCACACTCGATTCATTGAGGTCCATCTAGATCTCTGGCTATCACCCATTCTAATTGTACTGTGGAGCCTGAAGAGCTTGTCGTATCGTGGCGCACTCACGTTGACCTCCATGAGCGGCTCGGGCCTCCACCTGCTGTCTCCTCTCGACTCGCGGATCGCCTGGATACGTTTCTCCCCCGGCTCGAACATGGCCAGGTTGTACTTAATCTGTCAGTGGAACAGTGTGAAGAACGCGTTGGAAGTAAGCAGGGGAAACGAAAGACACGCAAAATGCGCCATCGAACGAAAGATGTAGTGAAGCAGAAGAATCGCCGCAGTTAAACGACGCATAACGACGTTAGCATTGATATACATACGGTGACTCTCACTACTCACGAAGAACGACTCGGAGTCCTTTTTGCAGTTGGCGAAGGAGATCTGTCTGTCCATCACATCCTCCAGCACCTTGGGCATGGTCTCGATCAGCGCCGACACGATGCTCTTGTACTTTCCGCTGACGTCGCCCAGCACTCGCTCACTGAAACGGGTCACCGTCGTGGGTCTCAGGTATGGACATTGGCCATATGCATTCAGCAAAGGTGCAGTCACACTAATGGGATAATTATTTGGCTCGAGTTTCTCAGCGATGCTACGCTACATTTGTTCATGCATCCACATGACGAAATGCATGACAATGCTACATTCGAGCATTGTTTTTATACCTCTCCTGATACCTTTCCGTGCTCAATCGACGGTATGCGTGCCCGGGGAGGTTGAAGAAATATTCTTCTATGTATATTGTATACGACTGACCTGGAGGTGGCGTTGGTGAGCATGGCTCTAGCCGCCTCCACCAGCTTGTGTTTGATGCAGAAGTCCATGGCCGTGTTACCGTCGTTGTTGGCCAGCAGCGCGCAGTTGAGAGTCAGCAGAAGGTTGATGGCCGAGGGCTTGTTGGCCAGACAGGCCCAGTGGAGGGCCGTGCACTGTGAATGAGTGAGCAGGGGAGGCAATGACCTAGCCTGACCTCAGGTCACAGCTGACACCGGACAGTAACTTCACTTGACCTGAACCACGGGACAATAACTTGTCTCGTTTACGGTACAGAAACCTATAGCACAATCAGTTCACCTCACCTGATATACATACATAATTGGTACTCACGGCACAGCGGCCTAACGCTATCTCAATGGCACCGCTTATTGGTGTTTTCCAGATCACAAGAGCGATGTTCTAACCCAACAAACTCTCTTCAGCGATCGCATTCTACATTTCAGTCAATAACCTGGCGTTGGAGGCTGTAACACATAAATTTAGCCCAGTATCGGTCCGCTAAAACACCAGGGAATCGAACCTTGACAAAGGCAAAGCCTAACCGTGAGATCGGCCTTGTGCGGGTTGATCTACTCTTTATATGTGACAATTGTAGGTGTTTCTGTAGTGCACCGCCGCACGTTCTCCGACGCGGCGCGGCACTACCGCCGCTGGCGACTGGCAAGCGCTCCGACGCGGGGCGGCGCCACCGTCGACCTCAACGTGGCGCTGCTGTCGCAGCTGACGCGAGGCGCAGGTTCAGCGATATCCGCCAGATGGCTCTGCTCCACTTGTTCATCTTCTATGTCCGATTTATTAATGTTTTAGAAATGTATGTTCTTGTGTATGTATCATAATGTTCATCGTCGTGTGGGCATTCACGCACTCTTCTAGAAAGTATCTCTCGCTCTGATATACGTTTTCTCACTGCTTTGTACTGTCCTTAACTTTGCCAAAACGAACTATGGTTTCATCGTTGTGTTCACTACATAGCTTGCTCATGCTGATTCAAATACATCGCTATCCTTGGCCGATCTAAGTAGCACGACTCGCCACGGCACCAGCCACAAATGGTGACCCCGACGTGATTGGTAGCTCAAGAAGTCATCGTCTCCGCCTCGGCAAGAAGAGGTCATCTTTGACCTGGCCTCCCCATCGCCTCGGCAAGAATGGGTGATCTTCACCCGGCTTCCGCTGCCGCGAACAGTGAATAGTGCGCTGGTGACGTGGCCTAGCCTCAGCGCAACGAGCGCCCAACGCAGTGCAGCGCAGCGAGCGCCAACGCAGTGCAGCGCAGCGAGCGCCAACGCAGTGCAGCGCAGCGAGCGCCAACGCAGTGCAGCGCAGCGAGCGCCAGCACAGTGAGCGCGGCGAGCGCCTAGTGATTACCGACAGTCTTTCAGTGTGCCTCTAGTGTTAGTGTTTGCTGTATATAGTGACTATGCCGTCACCCATCGAGCCGGAGGGTGCCGCCCAGGACGCGCCGACGCGGCCATTCGCGTCGTTCCGGCTGCCGGCCTACGCACCTGAAGAAGCCGAGCTCTGGCTGGTGCAGGTCGAGTGTGCCTTCGCCGTCGCCGGCATCACGGATGACCACGACAAGTTCCGGCTGCTGGTGGCCAACCTGCCTGTGCATGTCGCTTCACAAGTTCGAGACGTGATAACAGCCGAGACCGGCTCGTTCTCGGAACTAAAAGGGGCCCTGAGCACGCGCCTGGCCCAGTCGCGCGCCTCACGCCTCGAGGCACTCCTCCGCGACCACCAGCTGGGCGACAGGAGGCCCACGCAGCTGTTGCGCAGCATGCAGCACATGCTGGGCAGCGCGGGCCACGACCTCGGCCTTCTCAGGACGCTGTTCCTGCAGCGCCTGCCGCCGACGACCCGCGCCGCCCTCGCGCTGCTGCCGGAGGACACTGGTATTGACGACCTGGCCAGCGCGGCCGACCGATTCCAGGAGGCCTCTGGCGGTGCCGCCGTGACTGCTGTTTGCACGCCGACGGCCGGCGTCGCTGCCGCCTGTGGCCCGCCGGCCGGCCCTGGGGTCACGCTCGCCCCGCCGGCCAGCGCGGTGGCCGCCACCGGACCGCCCGCCGCCTGCGGGTGCGGTAACTCCGGCATGGCCGCTGCCGTCACCGCCCTCACCGCTGCGGTAGCACGCATCGAGGCCGTGTTCCAGCGGGGCGGTGCCGACGCTCCTCGGCGTGGCCGCTCCCGCTCCCGTCCGCGCCGACCCGCACCTGCCTCGTCTGGCAGTTCTCAACCGGCATCGGTGACACCTGATGAAGGGTACTGCTGGTACCACCAGAAGTACGGCGCGGAGGCCCACCGCTGCAGACCGCCGTGCTCCTGGTCGGGAAACTAGCCCGCCTGTCCGCGCTAGCGCCAGCGGAGACGGGCCGGCCGACACTGGCGCCCCTCTTCTACGTCACCGACCTTGCCCGGAACTGGCGGTTCCTTGTCGACACCGGCGCACAGGTGAGTGTCGTCCCACCACGAGTCGTGGCCGACGGCACCACCGTGCAGCAGCCCGACGCGCCTCGACTGGAAGCAGCCAACGGCACAGAGATCAAGCTCCATGGCGTTATTTCGACTTCGGTGCGTTTCGGAACAGTGGACTACCCGTGGACATTCATGGTCGCCGACGTATCGATGCCGATCTTGGGAGCGGACTTTCTCGCCCATCATCGTCTGCTGGTGGACATGCGCCGTCAGCTCCTCCAGGCTGAACACGGCACAACGTGCGCCGTGGGCACCCGAGCCGACATCGGCTCCGTCGGAGTGCGCATGTGCGCGGCGCCCACTCTCGCAGACTTGTTTAAAGAGTTCCCTCGGGTGACAGCCACATCTGCGCAACTCCTGCCCGTACGCCATAACGTCACTCACCACATCGTGACACGTGGACCTCCTCGTGTAGGGCACCCTCGGCGTTTGCCGCCCGACCGCCTCCGCATCGCCCGTCAGGAGTTCGACAAGCTGATCAGCCTCGGGGTCGCCCGCCCATCCAAGAGCAGCTGGGCGTCGCCCCTCCACATGGAGCCTAAGAAGGAGCCCGGACAGTGGCGCCCGTGCGGCGACTACCGCGCCCTGAACGCCGCCACCGTCCCGGACCGGTATCCCATACCGTTCCTGCAGGACTTCTCCGCGAACCTGCACGGCTGTACCATCTTCTCGAAGATCGACCTCGTCCGCGCGTACCATCAGATCCCGGTCGAACCCGCTGACATCCCGAAGACGGCCATCGTCACACCGTTCGGGCTATTCGAGATGCAGCGGATGAGCTTCGGTCTTCGCAACGCCAGTCAGACATTCCAGCGCTTCATGGACGAGGTGATGCGCGGGCTGACGTGCTGCTACGTGTACATCGACGACATCCTCATCGCCAGCACGTCCGTCGAGCAGCACCGCCGTCACCTCCGTCAGGTACTGGAACGTCTCGACCAGTTCGGCGTCACGATCAACCCAAAGAAGTGCGTGCTGGGCGTCAACCGCATCAGCTTCCTCGGTCACGATGTGTCCCCGGACGGCATCGCCCCGCTGCCGGAGAAGGTCGCCGCAGTCCAGGAGTTTCCGCAGCCGACCACGCAACGCCAACTGCGTAGGTTCATCGGCCTGGTGACCTACTATCACCGGTTCCTGCCTGGTGCTGCCGGCCTCCTCCGACCACTTCACCACCTGCTGGACCAGAAACGCAAACGCGCGGCGCCGGTGGAGTGGACGCCAACCGCTGAGGACGCCTTCCAACGCGTGAAGGCTGCCCTGGCTCAGGCCACGCAGCTCGCGCACCCCACTCCCGGCGCAGCGCTGAGTCTGCAGGTCGATGCCTCTGACACCGGCGTCGGCGCTGTCCTGCAGCAACACTCGCACGGGACCTGGACGCCGCTGGCTTTCTTCTCGAAGTCACTCCAACCAGCAGAGACACGCTACAGCACCTTCGGCCGCGAACTGCTCGGGGCGTATCTGGCGGTCAAGCACTTCCGGCACACTCTGGAAGGCCGCCAGTTCGCCATCTTCACCGACCACAAGGCCCTCGTGTCGGCAGTCTCGTCCGGGTCAGCCAGCTACTCGCCGAGGGAGATCCGGCACCTGGACTTCATCTCCCAGTTCACCACCGACATCAGGCACGTGCCTGGGAAAGAAAACGCAGCTGCGGACGCTCTGAGTCGAACAGTGGCGATGCTCTCAGCACCGTGCCCGCCAGTCGACGACTTCGACAAGCTCGCAGCCTGCCAGCTAGAGGACGAAGAGCTGGCGCGCTTCCGCTCGACAGAGCACGGGCTCAAACTCAGAGACGCCCGGCTCCCCAGCGGCCGCACGCTGGTCATCGACGAGTCCCAGGGTGTACCGCGGCCGTGGATCCCGGCACCGCTCCGGCGCGCCTACTTCCGGCACGTGCACGATCTGGCCCACCCGGGAGTGCGCGCCACCGTCGACCTGGTCACGCGGCGGTTCGTGTGGCCGTCGGTGAAGAAGGACGCCGCACTCTGGGCGCGCACCTGCGTCCCGTGCCAGCGCACCAAAGTCCACCGGCACACGACAGCGCCGCCCGCATCGTTCCCGCCACCTGCCGACAGGTTTCGACAAGTGCACGCCGACCTGGTCGGCCCGCTGCCGCCGTCTGAGGGCTACTCGTATCTTCTGACGGTGGTGGACCGGTACAGCCGCTGGCCGGAGGCGATCCCGCTGCGTGGCATCACGGCGCGAGAGGTCGCCCGGGCGCTGATCTCCGGCTGGATCTCTCGGTTCGGCGTCCCGGACGAGATCATCACCGACCGGGGCAGCCAATTCGAGTCGGCGCTCTGGGCTGAGCTGTCCACTCTCCTGGGCTGCGCGCGGCGCCGGACCACCGCGTACCACCCCCAGGCCAACGGGATGGTGGAGCGCCTGCACCGGCAGCTTAAGGCCGCGCTGCGCGCCGCCGCGCCCGCCCGCTGGACGGAGGCTCTTCCTTTGGCGCTGCTCGGAATCCGCTCGGCGCTCAAACAAGACCTGGGCTGCAGCACTGCCGAGTTGGTGTACGGAGCACCTCTACGCCTACCTGGTGAACTCATCACCCCGTCCGCCACCGCGCCTCCTACGCCGGAATCATTCGCCGCCGAGCTTCAGCGCACCATGGCGGCACTGCGCCCGACGGCACCACGACCAGCACCAAGCGCGCCGTCGTACGTGCCGCGCGCGCTGGACCACGCCTCGCACGTGTTCGTGCGCCACGACGCAGTGAAGCCGCCGCTTGCCCCGCGTTATGACGGACCATACAAGGTGCTACACAGATCGGCGAAGACGGTCACTGTGGACCGAGGCGGTCGTTCAGACGTTATCTCCATCGACCGAGTCAAACCGGCGCACTTGGAACGGCCCCCGCCTGCTCCAACTCCGACAGCATCGCCGTCTGCGGTCCAAGACACGGCGCGTTCCGCCGACTCGGCAACACCGGCCTCCGGCCCAGAGCTCCTCCTGCCAGTGCCTCGCGCACCGAGGCCGCCGCTTCCGCCACCGCGTGGCGACCTGCCGCTACAGCCGCCGCCTCCGCCCGCGCCCCCACCGCCGTGCCTACGGACGACCCGCTCCGGCCGTGCTGTACGGCCACCAACGCGTTTTCTTAACGTCACGTTCGCAGTGCCGTCTCTAGGGGGAGGGTGATGTAGTGCACCGCCGCACGTTCTCCGACGCGGCGCGGCACTACCGCCGCTGGCGACTGGCAAGCGCTCCGACGCGGGGCGGCGCCACCGTCGACCTCAACGTGGCGCTGCTGTCGCAGCTGACGCGAGGCGCAGGTTCAGCGATATCCGCCAGATGGCTCTGCTCCACTTGTTCATCTTCTATGTCCGATTTATTAATGTTTTAGAAATGTATGTTCTTGTGTATGTATCATAATGTTCATCGTCGTGTGGGCATTCACGCACTCTTCTAGAAAGTATCTCTCGCTCTGATATACGTTTTCTCACTGCTTTGTACTGTCCTTAACTTTGCCAAAACGAACTATGGTTTCATCGTTGTGTTCACTACATAGCTTGCTCATGCTGATTCAAATACATCGCTATCCTTGGCCGATCTAAGTAGCACGACTCGCCACGGCACCAGCCACATTTCCACATGACATGTGATCTATGGGCGAAAAAATGGGTCTCACAGCTATGGCAGGCACAGGCGTATTAATGGACCTCCACGCTGTAAACATGACCAAAAGCGCCAGCGAATTAATGGTGTGTGACAACAAAGGCCTAACAAAGCGGGCTGATCAATGATGACGGGAGCAAATTACTATAAAAAATGGCGACAGCAGCCGACAAGATATCAAAGCCACTAAGATCGAAGCATGAAAATGACCAGATCATTGCCCCTGTGGTAGAAAATCTCCGTTACATGTCCCCATTAAAGATAATGTCCATTCTCTACTGCCCTTCTGTAGACAATGCATTTATAATGCCCTTTTTGTGCCTTCCTGAAAGATACCAGCAATGCTCTTTCCGAGTACCTAATACCAGCTTCACAGTCTAGTCATTGATAACTCCCGTCTATGTCTATTCGTATGCCCGACTTCTGCCCGTGCTGAACCCTTGGGTCACGACTCAATGAGAGCATGCAGACCGTCCAGCCGGGTCGTTCCGGACCGGACCGACCGGTTCATCGTCTCACCCCGGTCTTGTCACGCTGGTCGAGCAGCTGGGTGTGCGTGGTCACCAGCAGCTCCATGGTGCGGGTATACCCCTCGCGGGCCGCCAGGTGTAGCGGAGTCAGGCCCTGGAAGTCACGGTTCAGCAGCGCACCACGGCTGATGAGCAGCTGCACCACGCGGGAGTAGCCTGCCGACGCAGACACCGCGTGTTTAACCCGCGCCCAGATGGGGTCTGCCGAGCAACGCGGTCTGATGGGGGGGGGGGCCATTTTGGCCCCCCCCCTCAGATCTCGAGAACCACGCAACATAGCGACAAGCGGTAAACGGTGTTGGATAGCCCCAGCGGGGAACTACCTTGTGACCCAATTTCATTGACCTCGGTCAAACCGATGACGTCACAGGTCAGGTCAAAGGTCGAATTTTCACCGTTTACAGGCATTTCAAGAAATGCGTTGTAAAATCGAGTAAAATGCATTTCATTGAAAATCATCGATGGAGAAATGTTCTTCAAACACATATTTTGCTATTTGAGGTCACGATACCAGGTCAGGTCACAGAGGTCAGGTCACTGGGGGGGTCATAATATGAAAGTGTCGTGTGATACATGTTTTATGGTCCATTTTACATGACAAATGCGATTATGTGGGTCAGACAGACTTTAGGGCCAGCTTAGGTCACGTTTTGGTCAAGGTCAGGTCAAGGTCAGGTCAAGGTCAGGTCAAATTAGGTCAAATTTCAAAGTTGATATTTTTGCATAAAATGGGTATCGATTCGATGCAGCTCGTCACGGGGAGTTCAATGGTGGTCTCCGTTTTGCGCTACGAGGTCTAGAATTGCTAAAAATTGAGTTCAAAAATTTGACGTCATCAATTTTTAACAGTTTTTTCGCTATAACTTGGCCAAAAAAGAGGTATCGATCTAAAATTTGGTATGTATATCGAAGAGCGCAGGGACTATCACATATATTCCGGTTTTTTTCGAAATTCGAAAAAGTTTTGGAATTTTTTTTGAGTTTTTCTAAAAAAATCAATTTTTTTTTATTTTTGGGGGTCAAAATCCCAAAATTTCGAAAATCCGAGATAGCAGTTTTGTAGCGCCGTCTTTTCTCTACACAACCACATAAAGAACTTTAAAATTGCTTGTTAACTGTAGAATTGGTGAGCGTTTCAAGATGTCATGTTTTTTGCTCATTTTTGCTCGAACATGACCTCAGTTTGACCTCAATAACTCCTGACCTGAGGTGACCTGTGACTTGAAATTTTGTGTGAAGGTGTCAAATTGATGCCCGGTAAGGTACCCAAAATTTGGCGGCGCTGCGCGCCGCCGTTTTCTCGCTATTTAAGAAAAACCACAGGGGGGGGCCAAAATGGCCCCCCCCCATCAGGGCGCGGGTTAACTCTACGAGCTATACGCTTAGTGAAATGTGCTCTATTTGCGCATAGTCTGGCAGTGGTAGACTTCGGAGGCACCCAACGAACACAGCGCATTTCAGAATAGTAAAAGTGGCATTAGGATCGTGTCACCAATGCGGTGAGAATGTTTCACGGATATCTGAAGCAGAATGGGGATGTGACGCTTATATAGGGAACGATGAATTATTCTGTTGAGTTAGGAGCATGATCGGTAGCGCAGCCCACCGTTCTCTGAGGCGATGTGCAGCGGCGTCCGTCCTGCGCTGTCGATTCCGTTGATAATGAACTGACCCTTCCGGGACGAGAGGAGCGACCGCACCGTGTTGTACCGGCCGTACCTGAGGGAAGGGAGGGCGTCTCAGGTCACTGAGGTCACCCGAGGGGGCTTCATCACTGAGCTATATCAGGGGAGGTCCATCAACGGACGGATTTTGAAGTCGCGTGATCACGCCCACGTCATTTACGAGGAGACATCGCATTACATGTCAGACATTCGTATATTAGATAGGTACCTACGAACGCAGAAGGGCTCGGTTCAAAGAAACCCAGCTGCTTTGAATATGACTGGCGAGCGGGCCGGTACATTACCAAAATAAAATATATAACCATGATTCGCCTAACCTTTCATAACCTATCGTTGTGTCGAAAAGTAGGTGAGGATTTTCACCCTCCTCATTGTAGAATACCCTAAATACAACCCTGCTCTGTCGCCCTGCACCGTCTGTTCTCCCTCGCTCTCCCCAGTACGTGAGGGCGCGTACCGTCCTGTTGTGTCGCCGGGGGGCCATCCCCGGCAGTCGCGCCTCTACAGCGCCCAGCTCTCTATCACTGCGTGCCGCGCGCCACGCGTCCAAAGAGCGATAAACCCTGTCTGGCCCTCTCATATAGCTCTGCACTACGTGACTTTGGCATCGACCCGCGCATATTGGAGAGGATCCGGGGCAGGGCGACCTTCACGGGGCGCGACCGCTGTCAGCGGCCCGAGAACAACATCGCACCTCTGGACAGGCGGCAAAAACAGAGGAGCTGTGAATTATGGTGATGATGGATGGCAAGATGTTGTATTTTGGCCCGAGAAATATTGTGGGATTCCAGAGAATTGAATTGTTATGAATGAGCCAGCAAAGAAACGCTGGTTTGAGTTGAATTTTCTCCATCTGCTCAGGCCCGCAGAGCACGAATTCTGCGGCCAAATGCATGCTAAAATAAAGGGCATTGCGGGATTATCCATAAGTAACACCATCTATCAATTCAAACAGCAATTGTGTGCCGAACAGTTGTTCCACAAAGCGCCACGGGCCGCAGTGATCATTGGTCCGGACATCACGATCACGTCAGACGACGTCACACCCACACCGATAAACCTTCGCGGAAAACATCCGCAGCTCAAGCTCCCAACAAACATCCAATTCATCCTCATCAGCGATGAGCCGCAGCGACTGACAGGCGGCGAAGGACTGACCTGGCGGCGAAAGACTGACCTGGCTCCAAGGAACTGACCTGGCGGCGAAGGACTGACCTGGCGATGAAGGACTGGCCTGGTGACCTGACGAAGGACTGACCTGGTGACCTGGCCCCAAGGGACTGACCTGGCTCCAAGGGACTGACCTAGCGGCGAAGGACTGACCTAGCTCCAAGGAACTGACCTGGCGGCAAAAGACTGACCTGGCTCCAAGGAACTGACCTGGCGGCGAGGGACCGACCTGGCGGCGAAGGACCGACCTGGCGACGAAAGACTGACCTGGCTCCAAGGGACTGACCTAGCGGCGAAGGACTGACCTAGCTCCAAGGAACTGACCTGGCGGCGATGGACTGACCTGGTGACCTGGCGAAGGACTGACCTGGCGGGGAGGAACTGACCTGGCGGCGAAGTGGAGCGGACTCTCGTTGTTGGCGTCTTTGACGTTGGGACAGGCGCCCAGGTCCATCAGTCGCTGCAGGCAGCGGATGTGGCCGTGCCGAGAGGCGTAGTGCAGCGGCGTGCAGCCCTGAGCGTCCGGCTCGTTGATCATACGAGCGAACGCCTGCTGGCCGCTCTGAGAGAGGTTAACAAACAAGTAGGTATAAGGCTGTTGACCGCTATAGATAAATAAACGTACAAACACGTATTACAAACATTTTGCGACCGAGTGTCAGCTCTGAGGAAGACAACCAACCAACCAAACAAACAAACAAACAAACAAACAAACAAACAAACAAACAAACAAACAAAAAACAAACACAAATATGTAAGCGTTACGGACATTTTTCTAAAGCGTCTGCTGACCGCTCTGAGACTAAACAAACAAATGTTATAAACATGTTCAGTCGGATGTTCTGAAACACAACATTCGCGCTAACGCCTCCTGTCCGCTTTGAGAAATAGACAAACATAGAGACATATCAGCACATGCGTCTGCGGAACACTATTGCATGCATACAAATGTAGAAAACTCATTAGGCTCTCATTCTAGAGAAGAGGCATGTCGACAGCGGCGGCTTAAACCGTTTCCGGCGGTTATGACGTCACCAACACAAACACCTACACGGATACAGAGCACCAGCGGACCCTTAGTACGGTATTGACACGGCGGCGGTCAACAGAGGGTCCGGTTCCCGGGCCGTCTCCGTGGGAACCGGGGCCGGCGGCCGGCGTCCGGAGCAGAATCCAGTCCGCGCGGGGGCGGCTCTCTCTCTCTCTCTCTCTCTCTCTCTCTCTCTCTCTCTCTCTCTCTCGCTCTCGTTTTTTTTTTCTCTCCAAGACAACATTCAGAAGAAAACAGGCTAACACAACTGAGCTGCTCCCAGCCGGCAGCAGCAAGCTCCGTTTGACCTACCGAGGAGAGGCGGTAAGGTCCGTTTTACCTACCGAACAGGCGCTGATGAGGTCGTCCACCCGACCGCTGTTCATGACGAGGAAGTGCAGCAGGTTCCGTCCGCCCAGGTCCGGGATGTCGGCCTCAGCTCCCAGTTTGAGTAGGGTGCGCGCTGCTGACCACGAGGAGCGCAGGACAGCCACCAACAGAGGCGTGCGCTCCTCCGAGTCCAGCACGTTCAGGTCGGCTCCCTGCCGGCGATCATAAACCGTCATTCAGTGATCAAAAAACGCACATGCACTGAAATGGCTGGATACCAAAAATAGGTATTCAGCTTATGGTTTGTATTTTGTGCTTATGTGGCATAAACATCACTTTGCAATGGCGGATGTAAAGCCACAATATGTCAAGTAACTCGTTCTACTAGGCATGGTAATTGCAGTTTTATAGTTGTGTCGAGTCATGTAATGAATCGTTATGCAAGTGACTTCAACTCATCACAAGAAACCATTACGTTATTGTGCCCTGTGATGGGTATTTACTATTTATGACAACTGAGGATACAACGGTTCCTTCATTACCACGAAGCGTTCAGCAAACATTACGATTATTGTTCAGGCCTCAGGTCTGCAACGTCTCAAACAACCATTTATTACGTCGACCGCGTTCTGTTTTCCTGGACGTAATCATTATGTGATGGATTGGCAGGGCGCTCCGCAGTTCTGTACATCTGGCCTGGTACCTTGATGAGGTAATCAAGACATGCTGACGGGTCTGCCAGGTTCCGCGTGGCGCACTCGTCACCACGCGTCCGAGTTTCCTGGAGTTATGTCCTCAGCAGCGCCGCCTGCCGTTATGTAACTCCACGCTGTCTGCCTCGTAACCCCGGCTCGTCCGTCTCAATACCATCAGCTCTCAGTCTATACCGTCCACACAACCGCCGCACGAGAGCTGCTCGATCAGCAAAGCTCCCTTTCACTGCTGATGGGCTCGCCTTCAGCGGCAGTTTTCGTGAGAAGCCGCTGACGAACGTCCTCCACGCCGTCTGCTCTACTCGGCCGCGCAGCTATTTATTTACCTTTCCTGAATCCGCCGCCGCCGTCGGCCGGAGAGAGACGGGGCCCAGACACGGCGCTCTTGTTAGAGTAGATACACAGCTAACGACGGCTCGCCGCGGGCTACGGAGGGCTGTAACCCGGAGTGATCGGTCCTGTGTCATGATGTGTAGACGCATCGCTCATTAGTTCCTCGTTATTTTTCCCTTGAATATGTCACCGAGCTGACATCTCTCCGTGCCTCTGCGCCTTAGTTTATTCTCATTCGTCCCTCAGTCCCTGTGGTGGACCTCCTTCATCATTCCGTGTCGAAGTTAACTAGGATGGATAGTTTTCTGTGCTACCTTTTTCATCCACGAAATTGTCTCCACACACCTGCGTGATGACTGATGATGATCCGAGCACCGCGCAAAATAAACAACGCTGCTGTCAAGGGTCACGGGCACATTTCCGACGGTAATATGCTGTGACGAACAAAGCAGCGGTGACATGCTCATTACGCAGGGGAATACAAAATGCATTGGAGAAAATCGAGGCTGAATGAACCATTTAGTGTTTACTGCTCGCGTTTCAATTTCCCGGCCATGTTAAAATATTTGAGCACCTCTCCAACCTCTGCTTCTGGAAGTTGAAGTAACAGGCGGCGCTCAACAGCTCGTTAATATGTTAGCCACTCCGACGGATATTTTAGTCATTTCTTCGGGACCGTTTTTCTGAAACTGAGACCATTTGTGGTCGCTAAAGGTAAAATTGCTACAAATGCCTCGCTTTGGTCGTTGCGGCGATGAACAGGTCAAATATTTCTGAATGCCCTTAAAATGTCTGTTGAACGCTTCACATTTAGGCATGCAGTTATGGGTGTCAGGCATATTTGTCCCCTCGTTTATCAATGTACACTGGCGATTCAATTTATTCTGCCTGCTCTTTGTTCGCGTTGACCATTTTTCGAACAAAACTCATACAGTCATCGATTTCTGGAAAACGGCGGCCTTTCCTAGTTCGACGCGCCCGCAGGTCCGGCCGGGCAGCGGCACGTGGGATCAGGTGCTGCCGCGCCGTGTTTGCCGTGGCCGCGCCGTGTTTGCCGCAGCTGCGGCGCGGCAATTCCGGCCGACATGGTACAGTGCTGGTCAACATGACACGCGATAAAGGTTAATAGAAGCAGCGGCCCGGTCGGCGCTGGGGCCGCCTGCTCCGCGGACCGAGCACGGGTGGTCCAGGGGGCACAACCGCGCGGGGACCGGCGGCGGCGCCATCACGGCCGTCTTATCAGGTCACAACACTCGCTGACACTGTTTATCGCTCCAATCTTGTCTACCATGTCCAATCTCAATTGTTTTGTTTTTACTGAAGCTGAAAGGGGGTATCGTTAAAAACTGTGAGCGCAGGTGTCAGCGCGGAAATGCCGCCCGATACAGCTCCAAGTCTGGAGTTTGCACTTACATAGGTAACTCGGCTTGCTAACTCCTCACCATTCTAATATCTCACCATTCTTACTTCTCACATTTCTTACATCTCACCTGTTTGGCGAGGTACTCCACCAGTTGGGCGTGGTCGAACTTGGCCGCGCAGTGAAGCGGGGTCATGTCGGACGAGTCTCGCAGGTTCAGCACCGTCCATTTCTCCTCCGGCTGGGCAGCAGCGCAGCAGAAAATAAAAATAGTGAGATACAAACCGTGCTACATAAACATCAAATAAGTATAGAAAAGATGAAGAGAAAATCTGTCATACATAGCCCCGCGACCGCCTGGGGGGGGTCGGATCCGACCCCCCTCCGTTTTTCTTAAATAACTCATGAACCGCTTGCGCTATCAACTTGAAACTTGGCATACCTTCTCCCCCATCAATTTGACGTCTTCTGTGCAATTTTTAAGAAAAAAAATTCAAAATTTTTTGAGATATATTGATTTTAGTGATGTAACTACATGGCGTTTTCAGTCAAAAAATGGTAAATGTTTAAAAATTCGCCAAAAATCGAGGTTTTAAGCAAATTGCAAATTAAGGACATGAAAAGACGCAGCTCAACGAGTTCTTTAAAATGGCTATCTCGGATTTTCCATAAAATGCGTTTTTTCACCCCTAAAAATTCAAAAAACTATATTTTTTTGGAAAACAGCTAATAAAATCCAAAATTTTGAGAATTTCCGAAAAACCGGAATATATGTTATAGAGCTCTATTAGAACATTGGATGTCCCAAATTTCAATTTTCTATCTTGATTTTTGACCCCCAAATTGTAAAAAATAGCTCCAACATGCATAGGGCATGGTGACGTCATAAGCATTTTCGCGAATTAGAGGCACTTCTGAACATCGCATGTGAAAACAAATGGCACCACTAGATTCCTGGGACAAAGCTCGTCTAGAAAAGTGCATTTTTATGTCAAAAATAAAAAGTTGAAAAATTGACCTTTTTCTCAGCCCTCGTTTAGTTATGTATGGTATAAACGATTTTTTATGCTTTCAATGCACTCTTATCACCCCCAGGCTGTCGTGGGTACGGAAATAGCCCAGGCGGTGCCGGGTTAACCAAAAAGGATAAGAAAAAAAAACATCAAAACGCCCATTAGGTACTTCAGCGCAACGGCCACTTATGTGCGGCAGTGCATTGCGGCACAGCATTTCCGCAGGCGCCGACAACCTGCGCCATCTACTGGATAGGATGTAAGCAGCAGCCGTGTACCGCGGCACAGCGTAACTGCAGGCGCTGACAACTAGCGTCATCTATCAGTGGGGATGTATGTAGGAGCCTGTATTACGGCACAGTATAACTTCAGGCGCTGATATTTAGCGCCATCTATGCGCATGAATGTAAGTAGCAGCCGTGTAATGCGGCACAGCATAACTGCAGGCATACGGTTCTGTCTGTTCGAAGCAAGCGGCCGGAATAGTTTCTGGAAGTAGTTATGAAATGAATTACTTCACGATACGAAGAGATACCTCGTTAAAAACTTGAGTTCGAATAGCATTGGGACAAGACCAGTCAGTGATTAATAGTTCGTAGTGAGCCTTTGAGAGGTATGTGGCAAAGATGAACGGCTAGATCTGATGCCATTTGCTTTGTCACCATTGTGAACTCAGTATAAATGCAGACGGCAACATTTACGTCCCGGTTTTTTCTCCATTTTTCATCTCGGCGCGTTCCAACGCATCGTGCCGGAAGCAGACGGTAGGCCGCTCTCGTTCCAACCGACGAACACCGGACAGCCCACGTTTTGACCGCGCAGACGTTACTGTTCGCCGAACAAAGGTAGTAGGGTGAAGGCCGAACAAAAGTCACTGGCCGCCGAAAAATAAACAACTCGGCATAGTGACGGTCGACGCCGATTAAAGTGCTCCTTGTTTCTTGTTACATTCATGGAGCACGTTTATTTGGAAACACTTTTAACCGTAACCATTTGGCTAGGTTCTCAGGAAGTGGGAAAGATTTGGAAAGCCCGAGGCTCCAATATAATCAGTCAATCGTCTAATTTCTAAAGACTCAGGCAGAGGCTATGCTGTGAACCCGCTCAAATGCTACTGACCTGGGCGTCGAACAGCATCTGTGTGATCTCTAGCGACCCCTGCACACACGCCAGGTGCACAGGCGTGGAGAGATCGTTCTGCTGACTGCTGATCTTGGCCCCGAACCGGAGACATAGCTGGACCGCCTGACGGGAAGAAAAACGAAAATAATGGAATCCGATAGGCGATAACATCTAACGGTAGGTACTCGGATAGCAAAGGCGCTAACACTTCGGACGAACAAGTAAAGAAGTGCAACCGAGGGTGGATATACATTGAAATACGTATTCGGCTATAGGCTTGACAATGTCAGATTGACGGTCAGCTAGAGTGGCGGGTTTTATCGATATCGGGCCGCCTACCTTGACGTCCCCGGAGTGGACGGCCAGATGGAGCGGCAGGTTTCCCTCGATGTCGGGACAGAGCATCATGCGCTCGCCGCCGCAGTTCTGGCCCTCTCCCCAGTTGGTGAACACCTGCATTGTGGCGAAACTGGCGCGACGAGCCGCCTCGTGGATCGGCGTGAAGCCGTTGTTACAGAAGCTGCACGGACGCATTCCAAAGTCGTCCAGCTGTAGAGATAGTCGAATGTAGGTTAATACAGATAATGGTCTAAGCACGCTCAGAATAACATACCGAAAAAGGAGAATGTTGATATTATTGGAGAAGGCAATCTACAACTATGTCATGAAAAAAAGATAATCTTGGTACTGTTGAGTAGGGTAGGATGTAATATAGGGAAGATGCGGAAGACGAGAACAAGCCGCATCTGGTAACATCCAACCAAACAGTTCAAATATCTGCCTATTCCTCCTCATTCCAACCCCCCACTGACCAGCACGCGCGCACACTCGGCGCGGTTGAGCACTGCCGCGATGTGCAGCGCGTCCCGGCCGTGCTCCGAGAGCTGTTTGCAGTCGACCCGGTCCCGGTGCGTGGCCAGCAGGCGGAGGATGTCCGGCTGGTCCTGTGTGACGGCCAGGTGCAGCGGCGCCCGCAGGCCCGAGTCGAGAATGTCCGTGGCCGCGCCGCTGCAGGGGGGGGGGGCGTCATACAATTACGGGGAAGGGGCGTCTCTATCAAGTTGAACTCTCTCCTAAACGAAGAAGCGTGTCGACTGAGGTGACACAAAGGAGATCGTAGCTGACTTTTTCCCTGCCTGTGGAAGTATGAGTGTAGGTATTCTACGTATTTTCGTGCTCTTCCTCTGTCATGAAACAAAAGTAGCATTTTTGCCTTCATTAGACTCTATGTATTTCTAAAGTTTACCAAAAACTTCCATTACGTTACCTATGATCCACTTTATTTGTTTCCCTGTTCTCTAGTGGGGATAATACCTATCGCCGATGATTATATCGGCAAATATCTTGCTCGATGTGTACATTGTAAATACATACGTCTCGCACCGCGAAATATAGCTATCGAGTGAATCTAATGAATATGACACTCAACGCCTTTACACTACGAGCCCAGCACTTCAGTTTCCAAACAAATGCCAACAACATTGAGGAATGAGCAAACACTGCCGCCTCTTTGAACGTATATGGCACCGTCGCGTTGTTGTGTGAGGACACGAAATACTTCCGTATTCGTTCAACAGTTCCATCGACCTATTGTGATCCAAGGGCACTGCCTGTTTGCGAAATGCAAATGTCAATTGGCCATGGCGATCATGAAACAAACACATTAACAAACACATTTCAAACATCTGCTTACCTGCGGCCAAGGAATTATTTATGAAGACAAAGGACGGATGAAGGCTTCAGAAATGTTCTAATCTTATGAGTATTCCTTGCCGTTTTATATTTGCCTTCAATCAATACTTAACAGTGCGACTTTGTCAGTGGTTTTCAGTTTTGAGAATTGAATATGTAAAAATGCTTTCATACATCGATATGGCGCTTGCTTTGTAAGTATTTCTTAGTAAGTTCATCGTGCATTCACAGGCATTTTCATGTTTCAGTACCAAAGTCCTTTCGTGTTATGTCTTTCAACGCATAACGGCGACAAAAATAATGGCGAATGGAACAATGGAACATGAACAATGAACATGTGCGCTGTGCAAGCGTAAAGCGAAGAGCATTCTTCCATCAATTACTTCAGTGTTCTGGTATCAATTGATAAAGCCATTGGGGACCCAGCACAGTTTAATGGCGATGCGCAGCGGATGCGTTAATCATACTGTGGCTGACTTCTGGTCACGCACATTTCGACAGTCAAAGCCGATCGGTCCCAAATGCTGCGCTCCCGCTGAAACGCGCTATTCTGTGGCTCGTGCTCGCCATTGGCAATTCCAGGTGCACTCACTAGCTCATTACGTAATGCGTATCGGTCTGCGGCATCTTAATGAAACGCACGCGACGTCGCCGAAAGATATAACCCTTCAGTGCTGCTCAACACCTACACTAGCTAATGACGACAACTTAAAACGGGTCTTTAGAGTCCAAGACAAGCCATTTGCATTGCCGCTGGAAGTCACATCAAACCGGCCACAAAATGAAATGGGTGCTTTCACGCATTGTTCTGTGGCACGCACATAGGGCCCGTGGGGAACCGTATGTCTTACCAGACATCATCAAATTAAGGTGTCCCTGTGTGGGATGGTGTCAACACGACTTCGCTCTCAAAACAGTGACGTCTGTGTGTTTAATTTTTATTACTTTAAGTAAAACATAGTCGTCGGTGAGATATATTGGCACGCCGACGGCCTAAAAGCTATAATAAACAAAACAGCACAAAAAACTTAATTATGCCGTAAAACTTAGTTAAATTGAATTACACATTTAAACCTTTAGCCTTTCAACGCATCCTATAAACTTGGTAAAAAAAGAGCTTATTAGGTCTCGTCCGGATAATGCCACAAGTAACACAAACAATTACTTTTGAAACCATCCACATAAAATTGCATTGGAATTACGGTAGCAGAAATATACCATGAGGTAACATTTTGCCTCTAACACCATACTTAATGCTATGAAATGTTGTCCGAAAAGCAGTGAGTGGCAGTGGACCTTGGTGGTGAACATAAAATTGCATTGGAATTACGGTAGCAGAAATATACCATGAGGTAACATTTTGCCTCTAACACCATACTTAATGCTATGAAATGTTGTCCGAAAAGCAGTGAGTGCCAGTGGACCTTGGTGGTGACGTTCGAAACAACTCTAGTTCTTTGAAAATAGCACATAATCAGATGCATGTTTACTCACCATTCGATGAGACAGGTGACTGCCGCCTGTGAGCCGCTCTCCACAGCCAGATGCAGGGGTGTCTGACCCTCGATATCCACATAGTCCAGATCTACCGACAATAGTGGGGGACCAGCCTTGTCAAAGGGGAGCGGGGTACGGATTATTGATATCCACATAGTCCAGGTCTTCCGACAATAGTGAAGGATGAACACTGTCAGAGGAGAACGAGGTCGAACTCAAAGTATCCACATAGTCCATCCCTAGCCATAGTCAGTCCATCCCTAATTGTTACCCTCCTGCTGACCCCTGGTTAACCTGTCACCGACCTCCGCCGACCGATGAGATGTAGCGCAGAATCTCTGCCTGGTTATTGGCGGCCGCATAGTGTGCCGGGCCGCGGTTCCGCTGGGCGTCCCGAAACTCCAGCCGCTTAGGGTCGTCCAGATACAGCTCCTTGAAGGCCTTCAAGTTACCGGAGCCGGCGCACTGCAGATCAGGGGGACCGGGAGACGTCGACAGACATATTTCAAACTGCAAAATACGACTAGCGCTTACAAACATAAACCTGCAAAGGGTTTTCTCTAAATTGTATCATATCACGCCGGGATAGGCTACAGCCTTATCGTTCAAACCAATTACAAATGACTTACGACTTGCTTGAGTTGTAATTTCCATACCTACATAATTCAGCCGAGCACCAACTTTTTCTTCCTCTCATCAACGCAGATCACGCACGAAAGTAAAAGCCGTTTGTTTTGTAAGTTAGGTAGGTATTTATTTCGTGTATCGGACATAAAAATGACCAGGCATATTTCGTAAAAAGTAAACATAAATATATACAGGCATGAATATTACAATTATATGAACTGTGTTTTGAAATGTTTTTCTTCCTCAACATTTATTAAATGGAGCAGACATGTTTTTTTCCAGCCGGAGGTGTTTAAACACTCCTCTGAGAAATTACATTATGCTGCACACTCTGTCCCTCATTTAGCTCATGATCCCGTGATAACGATTCATACAAAATGAGCCATGTAGCTCCTTTTTCATTGTCTTTAGGCTGGTTAAGTGTAACATATGGAAAGGTACAAAAAAGGCCTTTAGACCTTTTGTACATACCTACATAAAAAAAAATCAAATGATGCCTGGCCGCGAGACAAACATTTCGCACATAGGATGTCAGCTACACACCATATCCACTTACTGCCGTTGGTAAAACACCGATTGCTTTTTTTTGCCAACAGCTGACAGAATCCGAGCACATTCTGATTACATGTATTTGTCTGAGTCTGCATCACACCCCATCAGACATCTGGCAATCGTCCCGCAAAGATAGGACGTCAGCCGGAGTCAACATCTAATCAGTGCATCCACAGCAGACCCGCGGTCGGTCAGACACAGCAGCCCCGGCGGTCTGCCCCCCCCCCCCCTCTGCGTGGGCCGAAGGGGGTCACTCACCGAGAGGATGTCGGCGGGCGGGGCGGGGGCCCGGTCGGCCGGCTCGCACCGGCCCGGGTGGTAGCGCCCCCTGGCGACGCGCAGGCCCACCGTCAGCCGGCTCCACCAGTCCATGGTGGCCGACGCCACCGACGCCAGTGACCGGCACCGGTCAGCCGGCCGGCCGGGCCGCGGGCGGCCGCGCCGGCGTCCCGCCGCCCCCGCCCCCGCCCCCGCCCGGCCCAGCCCGACCGCCTGTTGATTTAACACCGGACCTGGACGACCGATTGCACTCGGCCGCGCCCAGTCGTCGCCTAATTTGATGTACCGAGTCGACACGGCGTGGGCCCAATGGGGCCGCCTCTCTGAACCGGCCGGCCGGCCGACGTCAAACATTGACCAGGACATTCATTTGGGCAATGCCGATCGCGTTTAACAGCCACTATTCGAACCATTGACGGTCGATCGTGCAGCGCTCCCAAAATTTATGGTGTAAGAATGAATACGGAAACGTGGATACTGAGTATATTGTACATTATGTAGTATAAATATTGTAGATAGTGCAGCTGAAGGACAAATGTTTGCTTCTAATCTGTATCCCCACCGATGACCGACAGAGAAGTTTATGCCCCTCCTTACTCGGAAACACGTTTATCACTTTCTCTCAGAAGTCATATAAATGCTGACTGATATTTAGCTCCAGCATTAGTAGCTGGAATTAAGGGGGAAATTAAACGCAACCCATGAATAAGTACGAAAACATGCGTGGAAATAAAAGCTATCTTAAGTTTAGAGAGGTGAATTCCTATCCGGTTCCACGAATACCAACATTCAATGTCGTTCGATGATTCTGTTTGGGGGCTAGCAGTGGGCTTTGGACCGGAGCTTCCCACAACATACGAGTAGTTATTGACAGGTATGTCAACACACCGCCGCGGATAATGGGAAGAAGGAGGAGTCCCGGGCCCGGCTCTACGTTGTGTAACTAAGTACACATCGCCTTAGAAAGAAATTTATAGGGAAGATGGTTCACATGTGAGGTACTGTAGCCTGGTTTTTGGATGTGCAAACAAAACTGTCCTGAAAAGGCTCCAGAAGGTGCAAAACTTCGTCGCCAGGGCGATATCGGGTCGTCGTCGATACCAGCATGTGTCCGACGTGATAAAGAGTCTGGAATGGCTCCCAGTGGCGGCTAAATAATGCTTAAGTAAGAATAATGCACATTGTATTTTGTCTTCTCGCTCACTTCTTATTCGTACCTACTTCTCGAAATATTTCGCACTGTTTTGATTGTTTCCATTTGGTCGTAATTATTAATGGCAAACATGCTTAGCATGGTCTAATTAAACGGTTTTGTAGCTAAGATGCTATTTTATAATTAAATTCAAAGCTTAACATTTGACGTCTTCAATCCTAAGTCCATATTTAGCCTAGTGTTCTAGTCCAACAGTTTTTATGTCAATGTCATTATCATTAGGTACCCTACCTATAAATGATACTACATATAATAGCCGTTTTCACGACGGCCATCTGGTACATATTTGGTGCACATTTGGTGCAGATTAGGTGCAGATTTGGTCAAATTAGGTTCAATGTATCTCTTAGTAGCTATCAGCTAGGGTTGCACTAATTGCTTATATGCCTGCTTTGTCATTATCAGAGAGCATCATCGATTAACGGTAGTGTGCCAGCTTTTCTGGACCGTATGGAGTTAATGGCCCAGATAAGGAGAACCGGATTTTTAGAACTTATCCATACCTTCAAAACTCATGGAAACGTCTTAACCCTATTCCTGGCGGGGGGGGCCTCAGGAGCCCCCCCCCCCCCCTGAGGTTTTTTGGTTATTTCTCCCAAACGCGTTGAGCTAGGAAGCTCAAATTTTCTGACTTTTCCTAAAAGGCTTCTACGCAACATGTCTGAAAATTTTGAGTTGATCTGACCTCAGGTCAGGTCACCAGAGGCGGTTTGGTGACCCTACCTCAGAAAAGTTTGCAATCACGCCAGAGCTAGAGTTTTTGACCGATCAATTTCTTCTCTTCAGGCTTTAGTTAGGGTACCAGTATGTGCAATTTGTATATCTCGGAATTTTGATATCGGTGACCTAAGGTCAGGTCAGTTTCGCGACCTCCCCATTATAAGTCAGTGGGGGAAAAATCAACTCCCTGTTTTTACCACTAAAACGGGTCGGAATGGCCCCATATACCATACATGACTTCATATACGATCAACCTTCACTACCTTGAGGTCTGTTTTGCTGTTGGGCAGCTGTGAGGTCATGTGACGTCATCAAAGGTCACCAAAGGTTTTTGGCCAATAACTCCGTACAGGAACAAGATACAGACGCGTGGATGGTCTCATTGTGTTCAGCTCGTCAAGACGCATCGAATAATATACATGATGACCTCGAGGTCACGTGACCTGAGGTCAACCTTTGACCTTGACCTTTCGAGGTCAACATATATATCATTCGATGCGGATTGACAAGAGGATCACGATGCTGCCCTTAGTTTGTTCCTATCTTGACTAATTCGAATGTTATTCGAGAAAAACTCTCTCCATATCTAGCGCCGCCATTTTGACTTTTTCGACCCCTGTGACGTCATCTTTGACCTGACCTGAAAATGACCTTAGTAAAACTTGTAGACCTTGTCCATGCGTATCCGATGCCGTTTACCGCTTGTCGCTATCTTGCTTCGTTCTCGAGATCTCAGGGGGGGGGGGCCGAATCGGCCCCCCCGCCAGTTTCTTGTCCCGGCGGAGCCCGCCAGGAATAGGGTTAAAGGGACCCTCCCACCTTCACAAAAGTTAATGAATTGGCATGAAAGTGATGTCGCTCGGTTCAGAAAGAGCGAAAACGAATATCTAGCAAATTTCACCGAAAAATATTCACCGGTTTTCAAGATATTAGACTTTTACTTTTGTTTACTTTTTGGGATCTCCGCTGTTCCTAGCGACTTTATTTGAAAGCAATAGTTTGGCAGCTGAAAGTGCGGCACTTGTTGCGCGCAAAGCAGCATATACCACCGCGTGCTACAAAAGCGTATTTACAAATTGCAACCGAGCTCCGCCGTAGGGTATTTTATTTCCGCCGTAGTGTATTTCACTTAGGGGATTTTCTACCATAATCTGCCTGAGCTTAGGGTAATTACAATTTGTCGGCGACGTTCGAAAATGATGCACCTTTTTCGCAGTATGGGATATCGCATATGCATATTTCTGCATTTTCGGGTGCGCTTTATCGGTTTTTCGTGAGTAACTCGCGTAAAAACCGTCCGATCGCGACGAAACTTTCAATACCCCCGATTTTTATCAATTTTACACCTACCCTGAAAATTTCATGACCCTGACCCAAATGACCTTTGACCTGTGACCTATTTCTCGAGACCATGTTTGGCCCGAATCGCGATTCGGCGTATGTCGGCTCGCATTAGCCGCGCGGTTGCAGTTTTCACGTGGTTTCAAGCGTTGAAACATGTGATATGATGCTGGTCCCATGCATTAGAGTGGGTGTTAAGGTCACCTGGAAGGTCAGGTCAGCTCAATGACCTTTGATGACCTCGGTTCACTTTTTCGAGTTTTACATGTTTCTAGGCTAGTTTTTGGAGCTGATTTCGAATTTAGCAACCATTTGAACATCACAGCGGGTGTAACGAAATTATCCAGACACCTTTCTTCCCGCTGTAAAAGCAAAACAATCTGGTACTTTTTCTTTTAACTGAGCTTGTAGTCACCTTTCATAAAAACACAGTTTACTCACCTCGTTGGTTTCTGCATATCTTTGGAGTGGTTTCAAAGGACAGTCAGAGAGGAAATGAGGAACCCACACAGTGGCGAATGTTCTGGAGCATTTCAGCCAATGGATTCTCCAGCACACTGGCTTTGATGCGGACCAACGCCGTCTAGACCTGTGCCTGCGGTTGAGCAGTGCTTATGGCGGGTGGCTCTTCATACACCTCCTGCTGAACAAGAGCCCACAGGTTTTCGATTGAATTGGGATCGCGACTTTTTCCAAGTCATAAGCGTTAGCCCAGAATGATTGAAGGTTCTATCGGCATCACTTCCCGTTCTTTTAGGGACTTTTAGGGACTTTCCCGTTCTTTTAGCGCGCCGCCACGCATGAAGACAGCGTGGCTTGAATCAGGCATCAGTGCGCGTTCAGAAACCGTGCCCTCCTATGCCGTCTGGTTGAGCGCCTCCAATCATGCTCCACCACCTTCCCTTCCCTGGAAAAGCTCCACCCTTGCCTATGGGACAAAATATAAGGGACAAAAACACAAAACAAGACAGATAAAAACAAAGCAAAATTAACCCATTTATGCCCAGGAATATTGACCATCATGAAAATCGACGAAATCAAAATATGTTATGCTCCTACCAGGGCCTTGTATGGAATCGAAAATAATTTTTGCCTGCAGCAAAAGTTTCTCGAGAAAAACGTAAAAAACATGCGTTGCGAAATCGCAACGAAGGGCACACCGGGCGCCATCAGCGTTGCGAAAACGCAACGACGGGCACATCAGACGGACATAAAGTACACTGAACTGCCGTATATGCTAATATATTTTGACAAAACATCAATCAACTGTTGACAACTATTGCTTGAAAATGCGGAACCCACATCCGTCATGCTCTATAACCCGCCTAAGAGCCTCAGTGAGGAAGCATAACTTCATGATTCGCGAACGGGGAGATGGCAACACGGTCATTATCAACCATTTACGTTGTCCATTGCTGTTCATTTAAAGTTGTGGTCGACACGTATCCAGGGTGATGCTTTCTTTTTGGAAGCTAGACAGATCCATTACCTCCACCTATCAGACCCTGCACAGTGCACACTGAATACAATTATAAACGGAGGATTGGGAGTAAACCAGTGCCTCTCGTATGCGCGTATATCCGCAATCATTTTTAACCACCCTCTTAGGAGTAAAGTTAAATTCCATTGCGGGTTAGTCGTACCAACTCTCAGCAAAAAGAAAAAAGGACCGATCCGGCTCTAACAAATTACCCGCGTAAGGCGTAGCGCATCACAACAAATCGACTCCCAGTTTATCATGTTTACACCTAATCCAAAATTTTCATGGCCCCACTCTCAGCGACCTTCACGTGTAACCTCTTTCTCGAGACAATGCCAG